ATTATTTTATAAATTTTGTATCTTATTATTATTATTAGTATATTATATTATGTACCTACATTATATACTTATAACGTGTACATATTATACTGATTAATATTATTTGTAAATAAATATTATTAAATTTGACGATATGACGTATTATTTCAATTTTATCAAATTTTATCTCAGTGGTAATTCTGTGCATTTATAGATATGGATAATTTGTGCAACTTAATATTGACATTTATCTTATACTTTAAGGGAAAAATTTGATTTATTGATTTTGATAATATTATATATTATAATAATATGCATTTTAAAAAATATTACAAAAAAATACAACTCTTATAACCCACGAAAATCCTTCGGATACAATTCGTGTAACGCGCTGATCGATAATCCGTATTGTAATCTAATATATCTAAGAATAATTTCATGTACGATTGAAAAACGTTTACGTCGTTTTACTCTGGAAAACCATTACTTTTGTAATAATATTATTTGATTATTTGATGATAAACAAAATGTGGACAGATATTATCCGTTTAGTATATAAATTGGAAATTTGTTTAGCATATAAATCCGTAGTGTTGTTCCGAGCGTTACATAATATAATCATCGAGATTTGTGTTCTTTAAATTAATTTTATAATAATAATAATGGAAGTAATTTTAAGTGAATGTGGAAAGGAATAAATCATTTACTAACACTATACTTACTTAACTTACTAAAAAGGACGAAAATGGCAATGAGCAAATAAAAATTGCAACTCTAAGCTATAACTTGACGAGAGTAAAACTACGATTTTAATCAAAGAAATTGAACACGACTCTCTTCACCCTGAACACATGAAACGGCAAATTATTTGAACGACAGTTGTATCTACTATACTACCAACTAGATAAGACGAATTTCGTAAAGTATTATAGACATATATTATATCAGGGTGGTCCAACCCACGGCTCGTGGGCCGTACGCGGCCCTCGAAGCCTTTTTTTTTGCCTCCCCCCAACAATTAAAATAATTATCTTTTTTATTAATTAAAAATTTAAATCACAATAATATAGAAAAATCGTAATATGATCGTATAGATTTTACATTTTATTGTTATACGGTGGGAGTTCCTGGGAGTCGGTCATATCGCGATAAACCGCGATGAACGACGTGAATACTATTAATTAATCAATTAGTTATAAATATAAGTAACTTAATCTGTAATGTAATAATTTGTGCATTATATAAAATAAAATATAAATAGGTAATAGTATAATTTTTTTCTTCTGGCGGCCCCCGGTGTTTTTATGAGATTTTAAATTGGTCCACCAACTATAAAAGATTGGACCACACTGTATTATATTATAAAATTATACTAAAAATTAACTAGGAAATATCTATTTATTTCAATTATTAACAATTTTTCGGCACAATAGATATATGTATACCTTTTTTGTACCGGCGGAATTGATGTATACCTTTTTTCTACCTACAATTCTTCTTTTTTTACCTGTGATTTCCGGCTCAATTGATGTATGCCCGGTATTTTACACCTACCCAACTGTATTTAAATTTATATAAAATACCGAATTTTAAGGTACCCATATTGTCATTGAATACTGTGTACCACATTTTATCCATGGTTTGAGCTTATTATGGGCCGCATACAATAATATTAATTGAATTTGATTAAATTTATGTAAATTTCTATTATCATTTAGCTGAAACTCGATGGGTCGATATAATTCTTATCCAAAACTACTGTAGTCAAACACATAGCTAGTGGGATCCATGGAGTTTTGACCTCCCCTCCCTGAAATTCAAGCTTCTCACAAAAAAAATCTGATTAATTTTACAATTATTGGTAGTTGGTGATATATTTTATATTGCCCCCCCCCCAAAAAAAAAAAAAAAAATAAAAATCCTATGTGCCTGGCTGCAGTGTACGGACAAATATATTTACAATGAGGTGGCAAAAATGTATACAAGCAATGAGACGCAAAACATAATATTAACGATTATTAAAAGAGCCGAAACTAATAATGGGTGTGCTCAGTGGCAAATTCAATAGTTGACTATAAATGACGATAGCAGGTTTTCCAGACATAAACAATGTAAAATTACCCAGCTAGGTTCAAAATTATTTTTTTAATTATAATGATTAATCGTTGCTTTTAGTATATAAACTGAATTATTTTATTTCTGTTACCTTCAAAACATGAATATGTTATTTTATTATTATTTTCCTAATAAAACTATATTATAAAACTACTTTTTTTTTTTTTTTTAAATAATGTTTATTGATATACTTATAACCATATGTACTATGAATAAATTTGAGGGTAGATTGATAGTAACAACTGACAGGGCGTCAGGGTGGTGAAAAGAAAGCTCACATTAAACGCTTGTAGCTACCTGAATATGAATTAAATATAAGTTAAATAATATTAAGAAAATCCCTTGGTCACTTTCGATTCAGACGTCTGTTAGGATTGCTTGGAAGTATTTTTAAATGCAGTTGGCGTTTGAGTTGCTTTGATTAATTTTGCATTTTGAAGTAATGTCTCAAATACTCAAAACTATATTTAAATACTTTATACCAGCTATAATTATTCACCATTAGACTTATTTTCTATTTTTTTGCTGTAATTTGGTTATTAAGTACACGTTAAGACTTAAAACTTGGTAATAATACTTATATTGAACTTACCTAGAAGCGGTAAAATTTTTAAAATCATCGGACGACTTTTTTTTTTTTTATAAGTGTTTCAAAATCAAATTTAAACGAAAATTGCAAAAAAAATTACAGCAATTTAAATTATATACTATCGAACTGCGCTCGGAATCGTCTTCCGTCAAACAATAGTTTATTGTTGCTTATAGATATAAATGAAATAACCTAATGTATCCTACCTACCCAACTTCTTACCTACAACAGTGGCCTCTCCCATTCATAGTATTAGCTCTATTTTTTTTTTAATTTTTACGGTACATGTTTTGTTTAAATTCTGAGTATAGCGAAGAATGTATTGATTTTACCAACATGTTTATTTTTTTACATGGTCGTTTTTTGATTTTCCCGATAGTATTCCCAATAAAAGACAAAAAATGAGAAAAATACTAAAAGACGGGAAATTCACAAAAATAATGCTTTTATTAATTTTTTAATTTTGATGTTTGTTGTAATTCAGTTAAAAATATTCGTATATACTTGAATTTTAGACAGAAACATATATATATATTTTCTAGACCTAATACAATTTTTAAAACATTTGAGCTATTTTTGAGCTCTTTATAGATGTTTTAATTTTGCGAGTTTTGTACGTAATTTTTTTCAGTAGGTATCCTGTGGTAGAATTGTTAGATTTAACAGAAATGTTTGAAAATTCACAGGAGGTTCTTAAAAATTCTTACATTATGGCCAAGAAATAGTTTAAAACAAGTTTATGGTAGTATTTTTTTGATTTTCAGAGTTTTTATCAAAAAATGGGAAAACACGGAGGAAAATGGGAAAATGTACGAAAGGTAGGTAAAATTAGTTGAAAAATATTTCGTCTTCGTCCTTTGTTTTTTCTCGCGAACAACTTTTCTACAAGCAATTTAGCTTTGATTTATACTATTAGCAATTTTTCTGAAAGGAAATTGGACTAGGAAGGTTCTTTAATGAGGTAATTTTTCGATTTTCTCAAAATTTTTCCCAGCAAATGTGAAAAACCGGGATAGAATATGGGAAAACCGGAAAAAACTTAGGAAAACTGGGAAAATCGGTACAACATAAAACAAATATTATTTTAACAGAATCGTTTTACGTTTTGAATGGGTTAAAGATAGACTATTGCTTACGAAAAATACATTAAATTACCTATAACAGTGGCTACACCCGTTTCCATTATCCTAGGAAATCTTTTTTGTTTTGAAATTGATTAAAAATTATCATAGAGATTTGAAATTTTACACATTTATCTTTTCTAGAAACGGCAAAACGTTCAAAACCATTAAATTTAATTATAATTGCAAGTTTTTTACGTAGTTTTTATTTGGTAATACTACGTAAATATCATTGTTTGACCAAACAGAAATGCTTGAATATTTAATACGTCATTCATTATATGTTATTGAGTTATATTTAGTGGTCAATGAAGAATAGAGTGAAATGTTGTAAATTTTTTCATTTTTTTTTTTTTTTTTTCATATGATATATGGTATATAATGGTTTTAAAATCATATTTGATGAGTGTTATGGTCTTTTATATCGTTTTTAAACAAAAATTGCTCAGAATCGTTTTTCGTTAGCACTGATTACAGATATAAATTAAGTAATTTTGTGTATCCTACCTTCTAACTTCCCACTTACAACAGTGGTACACCCATCACCATTTTCAGATATTTTTATAAATAATTTCTCTATCGAAAATAATATTATATACGTGTTTATAAAAATGCACTTATAACTACGTACCCCGTGTAAACCGTATACCTGTTGATCATATATATATATATATATATATATATATATATACACACACCCTTACACACATACAATATACGCATACCATACATACGGACCACAATAATATTATTCGTTTGTTACATAAATTCCGAATCTCGATGTCCCGGGGTAACCTTTATCGTATAATCGGACAATCCGAACGCGACACGATTCAAAAAAAAAAAAAATAATAATAATAAATAAATACGAGATTGCCTATAAAATATATGGGGTGACGTTTCAGCCGTTGGTGGCGGTGGTGGTGGTATAGTAGTAGTGGTGGTGCTGTAGCGGTAGAGGGGCTAATGTTACGAGGGCTCCATCGCCATGTGGCTATGTACATCGAAGACGGTGAAGGCGCCACAAACCTGTCACCGGGCCGTTGCAGTTAGTCGTACCGCACACACGGCAAACTCCGCGTGTTGCGTTAGTAGAAACACGTTATTTTCTCACATCAACGGCGTTCGTTACAGTTGGTGTTCGCGTATCGTTAAAAAAAAATTAAAATTTAACGTATAAAAACATCGTTACAATAATGGACGTTGTGTTAGAAAAACTCGTCGCTATGTCCGTATTGGGCTTGGGGACGTTTTTGATTGGTATCGTGCCTCTGAAAATAGTCTATTATTTCCAAATGAATTCAGTGGGCGGCGATGGCCACACTACGGGCGGGCCAGATTTTTCGGCCATCACGACCAAAGCTTCTACGATCGTATATAACTTACTGTGCTTCGCGAGTGGTGTTTTATTATTCACCAGTATACTGCGTTTACAACCCGGAGTTCGGAAACAATTAGAAAGCGTGCAAGACACCCGTAAAATAGCCGTTAGCATCGAGAATCTCGGTGATATAATGTTTTGCTTTGGCTTCTTGGCGTTTTTCTTCATAGACGAATTTGCCCACTTTTTGCTGAACAGATGGATGGCCAGACGAGCCGATTGGAATTCCGTAGTAGTACTGGCGCAGTCGTTGAGCCTGACACGATCGAACATACGCCGTATATCGTCATCGGTGCCGCCGATGACCGGTTGCATGCCTTTGGTCACCATCTTGGAGGTGCCGGAAGAGTACGAAGACAACCGGGCCACGTCTGCAGAAGGACAACCAAATACGAACACTACCGATAACATACCTACGGAATCGAACGACAATGAGTACAAAGAACTTCAGGTCATTTTTCGCTACCTCTTCACCGTAATCGCACTGTCCTTCCACGAAGTGTTCCAAGGAATGGCTATCGGAATGGAATACAACATCTTTCGCGTACGATGTTTATTGGTCACGGAGACCACTCATAAACTGGTCATCGGATTTTCTATTGGATTGGATATGGCGTGGTCGAATGTCCGGAAATCAGTGGCCGTATTGTATTTGGTTATGTTTACAGTCACCATGCCCGTTGGAATCCTTTTAGGTATGTGGTTCATCGACAATCTCGCCCGGGCAGAACCGACAGTGCTCGCCTTCCAAGGATTCGGCGACGGCGCGCTCTTTTACGTGATGGTTTTCGATATTGTCACCAGACACAAAAAACAGGGATTCCCATATTACGTACTGTCTACAGCACTCGGTTTCAGCGTTATGTTACTGCTGCAAATTATGAGTAAATCCACAATGACCTGCAGCATACATGTAAATAAGGTATAGTATTAGATTTGATTTTGAAGGATGAGTAGGAATCTCACATATACACGTATATTATGTATATTTATTTCTTTAAAATGTATACAATTTATAATAGTTGCACAAAATACGAAATACCCACAAAAAGGTCATAAAATAGAATAATATATTATAATTACAGTCCGAAAATCTGTAGATAAATTCAATGAATGCATTTAAAAAAAAAAAAAAAAAACGAAAATAATAATATTACTCATAAATCTATTATACTCAGAAAGAAGTTATACGTTTTATAAGTAATAAATTTAAAAATGTTATAAAATTAAAATAGATAAATATGAAACAATATTGTAGAACTCGCCACCTTATCCCGTCGAAAATTACTGATGTGGCGAAGCGAACCTAAAATAACGATAACTCAGAAGCACACTATCATCTATCCAATAACCCAATAATACTAATATTCTCAATTGATTTTACTAAATAAGTACAGTACATGAATACTAATATTTAGTTTTATTTTCGATTTAGCATCCACACGCCCCTAAATCTTCAAAAAAAAAAAAAAAATCGAGAAGCAATCACTTATCAAAACCGCGTTTGTTTCGCGTTTACGTATACGTATATATTTGAAATTATCTGTACTATCTGATTTAAGTTTTAATACCCGTCAGAATAAAGCCTACTTTAATATTATTAATAGATGCTAGACGATTTTCTATAATAGAATCGTTATTTTTCTGCAACGAAATTTCCCAACCATCCGCTTTTACTATAACATTATATGATATTTATTAATTTAAAGCCCATTACTCAAGCTCTAAATTAATAATTATAAATAAATATAATAATTATTAAAAAAAAAAAAAAATAGAAAGAGATGCAAAATGTGCATAACTTAAGATTCAAGCATTTATATGTCGTATAATATGTTTATAAGTCAAAACCATTGGTTGTGATATTTGAATATACAAATGTGATAGAATAGTTACTCGATGAATTTTCGGCAATGACCCCCATGCCTCCTAATCAAGCATTGAATTCATTAGTCGTAATGAAAACTAATCAAAGTCACGCCGATGTTAGTTTGTGCACATTTTTACGGAACACAAAGACGTATGGGTCTCTCACATAAGACATTTGCTATCTATATTTGTATAAAAAACAATAATGGTTTTTGTATCGATAGAAAAAATTATATAATTGAAAAATATTGTAATATTATGATGTAATCGATTAAAATTAGATTGGTATTTTTTTTTTTTTTGTCAAATAAATATTATTGTACAAAACGGTTTTGTTATAAAAAAAAATAACAAAAACCCTATTACAATGTCCCGCTAAAACTTCAGCTAGCTAAGCGAACACATTTAGCAGCCAAGTTTTAAAATTTCGTTACTACAAAACCACGATAGGTAAATTTTAGCGGTCACTTTTTAAATATAATTTTAATAAATACATAATGTGGTCAATTTAAAACAGCTAATTTCATTATTAGCCTATGAATATAGTTTTAATAATTTTTATTAGTGAATTGACGACTAGTGTTGGCGGAACTTGCAGTTAAAGTGTCCATTATGTTAAACTATGCGCCAGTTTAGCTGACAGTTGGTTAAAATTTAGCGGGACATTCTAACAACTCTATATATTCTTATGTCTTTGATTTAAGTGTACATTGTTATTTTTATAATATATTATTGCCGATGGCCGAATTACATTTATTATTTTAATTTTAAGAATGTGGGATTACTCATATTGATACCGTAAACATTTTTTTTTTTAATTATCAAAAATTGTATCTACGCCAATTATTTGACCGATATGAATGAAATATTTTTAATTTTTAAATCTATATATATATATGTAACAACAATTTTAACTATTATACTGTAATTTTTATAAATGATATGTCTATCATCATAAAATCATTGACTTATTTAAGTAATAATTATACAAAATTATATAATTTTAAGAAATTTTAAAAACTATAGTTATTTATACAATTATATATGTACCAATAATGTATAATTATTATTGTATCGCGGTTATTTAATTAAAATGCATCGTCCACTAATTTTCGATGTTTGGTTTTTTTAAAACATATAACATTAATGAATAAGATAATAATGTGTAACAATAATTTGCTTTGCGATATTCAAAATTAAAACATTTAATTTTACAATAAATGCCACGTTTTTCCTCTTTTTAATTAAACACCTTCAATATTACATATTGTCATATTATTAATTTGTTAAATTTATCCATCCATTTTTTTTTTTTTATTTTAAAAAGTTGTACAATACATATTATTATACTTTACATTTTATTTCCTATTTCTATATAATATGTTATATTATTATAATCTCCAGGCGTGGACTGGCTGGGGTGCTAGGACGCCGTAGCATCCCTAGCCCCAAGTTCACTTGCTCCTTTAGGTATACATTTGTTACTAATAATTATAATAAATAAAACTATAATAGTGAATTTTCTTTACTAAATGTTGTATGTTTAAAGTATTAAACAAAGGGTAAAAATAAGAAAGGTGTTCTTGCCGTTCTTGTTATATAACATCAAAAGATCATCAAATGACGTTTGCAAAAAACATTACTTTTTAATTAATGTCTTTAAGTATATACAATTATAAAAACATAATTATAATATAATTTTTAATATAAATCAGCTATTGGATTTATAAATCCCTTTGATTTGGATTATTAATTTTCTTTTAATTTCTTATAATGAAACCTAAAATTAGTTATGAGTTATCTACTGTAATTTATACTTTTTTACGTATATAAAATTAATCATTACACTTAAGCTTGTATACATGGTACCTATATGGTACCTATATATGTACCTGAACTATCGTAAAAAGGATTTGTTTTCGTGAAGTTTTTGGTTTTATAGTTTATTTGTTTCATTAATTATTTTTAGTCTTAAGTGCGACTTTAATACAATTCGAATTATCATTAAAAATTAAGCGAATTTATCAGATAGATTATTTTGATTCTTCATACCATAATATTTAAAATTATTATTAGATATGTTTTGTTTTATTTTATGTTTTGTTTATTCTACAACTATGAAAAATACATTTTATAGCTGTAACAATTTCAATGGCGTCTATTAGACCTCTCGCGACCAAATAAGGGGTTAACATAGTGTATATTGCAGAAATAGGGAGGCTACAACATATATTGTACAACAAAATTGTCCCTGAAAATTTGACTATTGGCCTTAATAAATTATAGAATTTCACCCCCTTTTTAACCAGTTCAAGCCTGATAATCTCACATTATATTATATTTTATACTCGAAAAGAAAATTAATTCTAAAATAAATTATTTAAAAACTTTATTTTAGAATTAACTTTTAACTATTTAAAACTTAAAAATAAATTGAAATTTTTGATCTTGTGTGTAGTGAAAGAACAATTGGTAAAATACATTTACTAAAATGTATGCATTTTTTTCTTGAGAAAAACTTTTTAGATTAGTAAAATGATCCGATTTATTCACGCCATATATTTAAAGATATATTTTAAGAGATAATTTCCGGTCAGTAGTACTTTATCTGAGACTTTATAACAATGTCCAACAGTTCACTCAATTATTATTGTTTTTTTTTTTTTATTGATTTATTGGATTACTTAATAAAGCAATAAGGGAAAAAAACCCGACTGATTCCAATTTTCTCAAAATCGTTTTTCATGTGCAATGATTTATCTTACATTCAGTTAGCATGGAAATTCAAATACCTTATATATCCGACCTTCTAAATATCCATTTTCAACAGTAGACTACCCATGGCGCGAAATGTATTCAGATTTTATAAAAATAATTATATGGATATTATTTTTCTTTTTTTTCTAATGATGCATATATTATAATAATTAATAATCGTATTATTCGTATTATATATTTAACGTAAATGTACGTTAAAATAATTTAACCGTAGAAAAGGTAATTGTCTGTTCAAATTTTGAATACATACCTAAAATGATAATAAAAATAATTTATAGTAATTGTTTGTAACAGCGGGAAACGTTAATTTATCCTTATATTTTCTACAGTGTACATTATGTTATTATGATTTATAAGTGTTTACCGCGAATGTTTAATGATCTACAAATTTTCAGATATTTTTCCCCATCTTTAAAATTTCAATGTTCTCGAATTTCAGTCATCATTATTAGGTATGTAAAAACGCTCGAAATATTAATAATGAAGCATACTAAAAAATACAGTATTCATTTCTTCTCTCGTTTGCATTTTGAACATATTTTGTATTATAAAATCTCCAATTGTTGAAGTGCATTGCAATAATAACTGACTGTCTAAGAGAAATAATTATTAATTTTAATTTTCTTTTCGAATTTGAACATTTTATGAGAAATTTATTAAGAATTCTACTACTTAAAAAAACAAAAAAAAAACAAATATATTCGAACAAAATACATTAAAAACGTTTTCTATTGATAGATTTCTTTTTAAATCTAATATAAAATAGATATTAAAAAAAATAAAGACATTTTAACTATTGTATTTATTTCGGTATATTGTTGTCTTTAATCGAATATTAATACCTAATATTGTATTATTACGAAAATTGACGTCGTTTTACGATTCTAATTTAAATGTATATTCTAAAATATTGTTGAATACAAAATTAATAGCTGCGTTAGTTTTGGTCAGTGCTTAAATTAAAAATAAAATAAGATGTTTAAAGAAATAAGCGCGTTACTACTTAAGTTATTTTATTTTATTAGATTCGTTTTGCATGTAATGTTTGTTCGAAAAATATAATTGTGTATAATTTATGTGAAGACATGGTACACTGCAGATAGTAGGTATTTCGTAGAATTATTCGCAAATCCTGTTCAGCTAAAGTATATAGTGGAAAATTTACTGTGTACCCAGTATCTACCTACCGGCCGTAACATTTATTCGAAATGTGTTTTGTAAATATAAATATTTTAATATTATTAGGGGGAAAGATACAGAAACAAAAACTATAGTTTTTCC